AAGGCCATGAAATCAAGTGAGGATGGCATAATCCTGCCTGATCCAGACTGCGATCCTGAATACGACTACAACTGCCGCCTGCGTCGTGCTAAGCCCGCCGCCGCAGCCTCCGCTGCAGATGAGCCGGCCAAGGAGGCTGCCGGTCCACAGCTTGCTGTTCCACGCTTCGAAGATTTCCTCAGGGGCGTCATGAACCAGTACAAATAGATTTTAAAATAAATCAGTCTCAGAACCAACACCTGCTGGGCAATGCAGCTCACTCTGCAGTCTCTAATTTTCTTTGACCACAACCTCCGACAGAAGCCTCAAGGCTTTACAAAGCTTCAGATCAATCATAAAACAATGCAGCTTTTAAATAATCCATCTCACTCTCTCAAACAAGGTGAAGGCTTCCTAGTTTTAGTCTGGTCTTATAAAGCAGGAACAAGAAAAGAGTGCCATGCCACGTATAGCACCGTGTGTTATGTTTGTATGTTTGTCGAAAAGAGGCGTTTGTATAGATGTGTGGTAGAGTTAGGTTACTTTGAATTTAAATTAGTGGGCAGGATTTTCTCTCTGTTGTACATTCCCTTTTACTTGAGTGTATTTAAAGTTAGTTTCAGTGGTTTTCTGTAACTTTGATCTTCACAGAGCTTCATTTGTTTAGATTTTGTAAAGTTCTAAATAAAGAAAAAAAAATCACTTGAATTTAATTTCTAGATAATTATTGTTTACACTGCGGTCACAGACACATCTGCTTGGCAGCTAAACATAGAAAAAGAGAAGAATCAAAACACAGAGTCAATCTATTCCAAATACTGTGATGCTTACTCTGTGATTATACACATCATTTCCATGCATCAGTCCCCAGCTGTTGCAGTGAACATGCAGGGGTGTATTGTGCCAGCTGGCAAACAGTGTTAGGCTTTCACCGGTTTGTGCCCATTATAGAAACAGCTTATTGCTGCAACATGTGCAACAATAAGGTGTTTATTTCCAAATACAATTACCATAAATAGATCTTATAAATATAAATATATATTTTGAAAGGTAGTAAGCAACCCTGCAAGACCCCTGATGAATGTTTTTGAGGTTAAAGGCAGTGTTTTTCTTTTCATTTTGCTTCTATTGTCAGAGAAACACGAATGCAGACAGGAAATGATGAGGCTAATCATGGCAAACACTATGGGTGTCACGTGACACCCATAGTATAGAAACTAGCTGCACCTGAGCTAGCCGTCATGGATGGAGTTAACGGATCTAACTGCCAACATTGTTTCTTAGTTTGGGCAAATAGAATATCCATAATATGTATGAGTTAATCACAAATGCCCTGTTTTTCTTACAGGAAAGGTAAGTCCTTTAAAATGCTAGCATTCTGCTAATGCTAGCATTCTGCTAATGCTAGCATTCTGCTAATGCTAGCATTCTGCTAATGCTAGCATTCTGCTAATGCATGAAGATGATGGGCCAGGTAACAATTTAGGCCTGGACATGCTCACTTGATTGAACCCAATTCCAAACAACAGCTAAAACAGACATTGTTAAGTATCATTAAATCAGAGGTGGGTGAAGGTGTTTGCTGCTAGAAATTCTTCAGTTCATTCAAGTCCAAATTGCACAAGCTCTGAATGAGCTCATGCGGCGGTGACATCCCATAAATTTACAGAAATATAATTAGCAATGATTAAAACCTAATGACTACTTTAAGGTTAGGCTTACCCCACAAAATATATTTTTTTGTGGTTACAGCTCCATGGTGACCAATTCATTCATCTGAAGCGCAACCTGCTGTGTAGCTGGAAGTCCAGAGTATGGAGCTAAAAGCTTAAAGGACCAGTTATGCCAATGCATTAGAGCATGGATGTCATATTCATTTTAGATTGCAGGTCACTCACATACAGCCCACTTTTGTGTTCTGGACCAGTGAAACCCTCCTTACTGCCAGTGTAAAGAAGTTTAACTCTGCATTTCACTCGCTGGGCCCACGTCCTTAGTTGAGGTTTGACAGCGTTTTAGTAGATAGCGGTGAATGGCTTGGACAAGAATTGAGCTGCGGTTTGGGGAAGGCCTCAAAGGGGACTGGTAGTGTCTCCCGGGCCTGGCAGATCCCCATGTACTAAATAGAAGTGAAGAAGTTAATGAATTGAAAAGGGGAGGAAGGGTGGGGCACGTAAACAAGAACGGACAGCTTGTAGAGCTGGGGGAACTTATATAGATGAGACGCGAAAGGAGCTCATGGTCCGAACTCATGGTCCCGCTCCCGAAATTCAGATACTTTATCTCCAATTAATCTGTCAGAGATCTAAATATATGAAAAAAGTACAGTTTTAACAGCATATTTAAAGAAAAGCTGATGTAGTAAATAACAAATCTGTCAGCACAACTCTTTGGGTTTAAATTATAAGAAATAAATGTGTCAAATACTGTGTGTCCTGTAATAATAAAACAGAGTTTTTGTCAATTAACAGAAAATGTCCTATTTTTAATTGTTTATTTTAGTGGGGACAAACTGTACGAAGAATCAAAACACATTTCTATGTCTCTAACTGTTGTGTCATTTAATTATTTATCTTTTACTATATTGCTTTGGTGTAGTATGAATGACCTGATCAGCTGGAAAAACTTTAAAATCTATGAAAATACAATACTGGAGTCTTTGCCGTGCTGATTCTGGACCCCTAATCAGAGAAATCTTGATGGTACACATGATTTGAGATATTTTAAAGATTTCTAAACTGAATGTCACGTCATTTGTTCAGTTTATCACTAGACATGTAAAGAATCTCAGTGTGATCAAGTAATGAGAAACAGGAAATGAAACTGCTAGCGTAGTTGTTTTAGGATTGGTTATTCTGGCAATATTAATCAATGCAGGCTTTCTAGCCTGTACGCAGCTGCAAACTGGCATTTTTGCTGTTATTGTACAAACCCCCACATTTATTGTAAATCAAGCATATCCTAACTCAGGAGATCTGGGAGACTCCTGCAACTTCTTGAGTTTCTGTTTTCAGGTTTTATAAAGTTTTCAATTTTTTGAGCACAATTTAATCCCCAGAAGAAGACAAATGTTAGCAGTTGCTTATCTTGTTCTATTTTAAATAGAGTTCGTGTGCCTGTGCTTGTCTGGTTGTAACAGGGCTGTTGAGTTTTAAAATCTGCTTTTTTCCCCCTGCATTTTTATTAAATAATAGCTGTACATGTTAATATATTCAGCTTCCTGTAGACCATAAAAAGTAATATGTGTACTTCAGCACATAGTCATTTTATATATTTCTTTATGGGTTCATACAGCTCTCTCCACACATAACAGAATCAGAGAGTCTACCAGCTGATCACAACAAAAATGAGACCCAACATTCACTTTGGATGATGAATGAAGGCATTTTTCTCAATCTTTATTTAAGAAGTAGTTGGTGTTGCCGTTTGGTGCTGTTTTCCCCTCAAAACCAGAAACTCCACATTTCAGAAATGGGCTGCAGCTGTCGGATACAAGGACTGCTTTTCAATAACAAACGTTTCAGCAGCTGAAGCACACAACAGTCACCTGGAGCAGGCAAACGCTGTTGGCGATGACAGTTTTAAAGGCAGACAATAGCTGGGTCCTGTAATGACTACCTGCATGCAACATGTGTGCAAGAAAGCGCTGCGTGTTGCTAATTGTAGCTGTTGTCCTGTAAAGTTTGGACTTGTGCTGAGCTCTTGTGCTTGTGATGGAATTAAAACGGTCTGCATCAGACCAGCGTGGTTTACCCTGCTGTGTCTGTGAGTTCAAAGGGTCTTACTTTCTTAAGTGTAGTGAAGGACCGAAGGTTTTACATTGTAGTGCAAGTCCTTTAAATGAATACTGCTTTATTTCTGTACAGAAATTTTCATTTTGATATACAATATACAATATGTGCAAGATCCAACTAATCCACAGACTCTTTCAGTTACCATAGGAACATGCCTATCACATGCTACAACAATTTAACTTCACTGGGCTTGGGGAGACATTCATGTACTCCACCACGCAAAGGCTGGATTCAAATTTAGCTTTTTTTTTTTTTAGGTCTAATCTACATTTGGGGAATAATTATTGCTCACTTAGAAAGAAATGAACAGTCTCTAAATTTTATGGTTTATTCATTTTTTATGGAGGCAACAAAAATCCAGAATAAAAACATTACATTAAAATCTAAATTGATTTTGGCATCATTGAGTGAAATAAGTACTGGATCCCCAACCATCCACCCATAGATTACAGGTGATTACAATCAAGCAATCAGTCAATCAGTTACAGATACTTGCTTTATGTATAAAGTACACTTAACATAATCAGTTTCTTTGACCTCTCCACCATCATGGGCTATATCAAAGAGCCATCAAAGGATGCCAGGATTAGAAGTCAGCAGGAAGTTAGCTCGCTAGTTTCCACCTAAACATGATATGGCACGTTCTGACTGAGAGATTTCTGAAAAAATTAAAACGTACAGCTCTGCCATCTCTTCCAACATAAATGAAGACAGAAAACTAAACAGCAGTGACGTTTGTAGGGTTACTGACGTTGGGCTAGCTGGTATATAATGATGTGCTATGTGATCGCTAGCGACACAGCTATGTTAGCATAACATAAACACAGTGAAGCTGGAGGATGAACGCTAACATTTTTCACTTGATAAAAGTTAACGTGATGGTTAGGGACAAATGCAATTGCATGTCAGGATGCTGGAAATGGACCAAAGTTAAGTCAGGAGAATAACTGAGATCATCCACCCACAATATGAGGTTAGTCATTAATATACTGCAACAACATGGGAATAGAGCAGCTGCGAGAGAATTCAACATT